TATTATAGAGCAGGTGTGGGATGAGCAGGTTGACCAGTGAACCGGGAAATCGGGGAAAAGCCGGGAATTTCAATGACAAATCGGGGAAAAAAATACTTCATCTATTTTTCAGAAAAAAAAGATTTTGGAGCTTTGAAAAGTTTTAAGATTCTTGGACCAGACTAAACTTTTTTGGAATTTTGAGTAGATTTTAGAATGAATGTCAGTCATTTCAACAAGTCATTTCAGATGATATCAAAGGTAGTTTTAGAAAGCGCTCTAAGAGATTTTAGACTTTCACTCCAAGTCACTTTTGTGAGTTCAAATTCAGGGTAGAATTTTTAAGTTAATCTGTGGAGAATTGCAAATCGATTGTGAAGATCACAGTATCGTGACCGGACCGAGGTTTCCAGCCTAGGTAACGGCTACATGAATCCGCGATGCTGCTATTCCTGCAACTGCTGTCGCTTCTGCTGGCTTTCACAAAATTCGTTTGCGTGTTTAGAATTAAAGGTTTTTGCAGTTTCGTCGTGGAATCGATACATTCTATTAGTAGAGGGCTTTTGTAGTCCAGCTGTCACCATCCAAACATTATTTTTCACTGAGCATTGACTAAAATGGCTACTTCGATGTTTTTCTTTCGTACTGTTTCATTTCAGTTGCACGCATCCCGATGACAATTTAAAGCACCCTCGCATCCAATGCAATCCCATATTATTTTTTCTATCCTTACTCAATTTTCGTCAAGACGACAAACTCAAAAAACTCTCTTCAATTACATTATTTTTACAGGTAAGCATGGTAAAAAATAATTCATCATAATGAGTGTCGTTCCCCCTGGTTTCGATTCATGAATTGAAAATTTATCCAGCTGTTTAAGGTTGGCTAAAATTAAATGAAAAATCGAGGTCTATACTGTTTTTATGGTAATGGTGGGGCTTTGATTTTACATGGAATTTCAAAAAAGGTATATTTATCATTGCACAGGGATGAGCAGTAGGCTGGGACACGGATATGTGTAACATCCGAAGTTTTCGTTCCAGTATGATTTCCGGGCGCCTTATGGGTCCTAGAATAACAGTGTAAAATTTCAGGTCGGTCGGTGGAACTATATTTTAGCGCCAGCGGTTTTAATTTTACATAGGATTTTCTATGGGAAAACTTACATTTACAAATTAAAATGTGGTGAGGTCACCCATTGTCCTATAAAAATTAATATTTCCTACGAAATTTAACAAGGAAACTTTTCTTCGAATACCGCAAAACGATCCGATGCTTGTGGAAAAAGTTATTTAGCCATTACTGATTGCTAACCAAACGAACTGCTCATTATTCTTTTTTTTTTTCTAGCAGCACTGCCAGCTGCCGCCTGCTGCTGTCTGCGCGACGCAGTCACGTTGTGTGGGGGTTCACTCAGCATGGAGGAAAGCCGATATCATGCGCAAAGAATCTTCGATTTTGATGAAACTTTACACAGGTTTTCGGTATAGTACAACAATTATGTTTCACGGGGGTCATTTGGAAACAAGGGTGATTTTTCACAAGGGTTTATTTGCTTTGGCGCACAATTTATTTAAACCTTATCATTTGATGTGCTGCTGCTCAGACTTCTCCACAACTTGCAGTAGGTATTCATGTTGTTCGGGATTCTTGGTTACCGAGCTGTTGAGGTTGGAAACAAGCTTTACGGCCCTTTCCACGACATCATTCACAACCCCAAGAGCTTGAACTCGCTGCTGCGCTGTTAAGTAGAAAAGAACCGCCGTCACTTTCAATAATTTTAAAGCACTTATTTTGTTCAAAATCGAAACAATGTTTATGAAAAAGTATCACTCTCTGATTTAAAATTTTCCAGCTGAAGCAAAGCTTTCATCCTGTTGTACCTTTGGTAGTACACTGGGATGGAAAAATTCTGCCTGACATCAACGGATGCTGAATCAGCTGCGATAATGGAGACAATCAACGAGTGGGGTCTGCAGGAAAGAATAGTTGGAATGAGCTTTGATACAACTAGTGTTACCTCTGGCGTAAAAAATGGTATTATAACCCGTCTTCCAGTTCTACTGAAAAGAAACTTGCTACCATTGTCATGCCGCCATCATATGGCGATAAGTTGGAGTCGAACAATCTCGATTCTTTCAATGAATTCAAAAAGAATTCAACCAAAATCGAAGCAACCGAAAATTCCGGACCGTTATGGATGATCCGGAGCTGAGGACCTTAACTGAACCATGGAGAGACGGAATCATCGCGTTTTGTAACGACCAGCTTATTGATTAAACAACAACGATCGGATTACTAAGAGCTCCTCGAATTGGTCGTAATGTTTTTGGGTGGAGTTCCTCCAAAAGGATTAAGATTCCACAAGGCAGGTAGCCTGAGCCGTGCGAGGTGGATGGGTCGCGAAATATACATTTTGAAATCGTGGATGTGCAGCGAAAACTTCGATGATCAGTCTCTTTGGAAGCATTACACAACTTTGGCTCTATTTCTATCGCAATGCTTCATTCGATATTGGTATCGTCTAAGTAGTTATGTTTCGGCCGCTCGAGTGGATCTGGAATTTTGGGCAGATCTCCACAACTTTCACGATCAACATTACGCTTTGATTGCCATGAAAGCCTTTCAAAATCATCTATGGTACTTATCGGAATGGAACGTGGCCCTTGCTTTTTACGATTCAAAAGTAGAAATAGACGAAAAAGTAAAGATGGTAGCTGCTTTAAATAAACCAAAAAACCGATCGAAAAATCCGGAAAACGACGCAAACTCAGCGAGGATAAAGTTCCCGTCAGAGCAACTCGACCCTTTCGGAATTTATTACTGAGGCTTCAAGAGAGTTTTTTACTGTAATGAACATCTCCACCGATTTTCTCGGTGAAAACCCTGAACATTGGGATTTAAATCAAGATTATCTAAAACAAATCATCAAGATCAAAGTTATTTTTTGTTGATGTGTCATGTTCATGAAAATGTATTCACTGGTACCAACCGAAAGAGAGTGATATATTTTGATAAACATTGTTTCGATTTTGAACAAAAAAAGTGCTTCAAAATTGCTGAGTGAACCCCCGCACAACGTGACTGCCTCGCGCAGACAGCAGCAGGCGGCAGCTGGCAGTGCTGCTAGAAAAAAAAATAATGAGCAGTTCGTTTGGATAGCAGTCAGTAATGGCTGAATAACTTTTTCCACCAGCGTCGGATCGTTTTGCTGTCTTCGAAGAAAAGTTTTCTCGTTCAATTTCCTAGGGAATAATTGGAATGATTTATTTTTAGAGGACAATGGGGGCCTCGCCAGATTTTTGTTTGTAAAAGTAAGTTTTCCCATAGAAAATCCTATGTAAAATTAAAACCGCTGGCGCTAAAATATAGTTACACCGACCGACCTTAAATTTTACACTGTTATTCTAGGACCCAGAAGGCACCCGGAAATCATACTGGAACTGGAATTTGAATTTTGTCCCACCCTACTGAGCAGTGTTAAGCAATAAGTGAATTAGTGGCCAAAATCATTTAAAAAAGTGACTTCAACATTATAATAAAAATTTCGGAAATAGAATCATGAAAACTGATTTGTCAGTCAACGAAAAAGAGAAATATTGATTTCCTATCATCAAAAGATTGATTTGCAAAAACTTGCACAACTAGATTAGGTACTAACAACACTGTGTAACACGTCTTTAAAGAACTGAGATATTTTATCATAGAACAGGGAATTCCGTATGCCATAATTGGGACACACAATAATCGGAACGTATAGCCATAACTGGTACACCTGCCCTATTTGAAATACTTATGGTCTCCTGAATTAATGCCTAGAATAAAAGAACAATTAGTTATAAGATCTCTCGCTAGATCCTGTATTGGCTTTGGAAATTTATTAATATTCTGGGGCATAAATTATTTTCAAGCTTTTGAACTTTGTTGAAATTTGAAATACTAGATTGGGTATGGTCTTCGATTAATTTGCGATACCTCTAACGACAAGAAAATAGGAAAATGTTTTACAAAAAATAAACTACATGATGCGGGAAATAGACAAATCCTAGGGAAAATATCCAGTGCAATTTAGAAGTTTAAAGCTTTAAATTTTAAAAATATTACAATACACTACAAATTGTTGAATAAAAAACCCATATTGATCCACCGGGCAGGTGAATAGAACCTTTGTTACACAGTATAATCTCTTTTTTGTTATTATTCCTAGATAGAAGACTCAGTGCATGCGATGTTTTTGTTTTGATTCGATGGATCTAGTTCATGAACATTACGAGCTACAAGTCAATTAAACATTACTAATCGCAGGGAATGTATATTTGATTTCATGTTTCTTCAAGATTTACATACCTGGCAGGATCGCCAATGTGATATCTTGCTTACTCTAAATGAAAACAACGTTTATATTTTACTTCCAAGAGGAGCGATCTACATCGCGTTCTTCTTCTCTTCTTAATACACATACAATTGAACACCAAATCCACATACGACACAATCGATCGAGATCAGCTATGGCATATTATGCACGAGTGCGGATTTTCGGATAAACTGCCACATTATAGATCGCGTAAATTTATGTGACATGGCATGAGATATTCCATACATTGTTGTAGGCAACATTTCTAGCAAGTTGCTGGCTTACGTGGAAAGGAGGTTTACATGTATAAAAGTTTGTATGCATGCACCGGTTGAAAAATTCATGTAAATTTCTGCGAGATATAGCGCACATAAAATTAACGCTAGATTTAACATAAATTTACGCGATAAATGTCGTGTAAATCTAAGCGCAATATCGCATAAATTAGCAATATTGTATGCAAGCTTTTAAACGATTTCGCTGTTTATGCCAAGCATAGCTCAAAATTAAACGAAGTTAAAATTCAGAATGTTTTTCTGCGTGGAATTCAGATTTTTTTCTGTGTAGATAAAAACTGTGACCTACAAGTTTATCCGCCTCAGTGCTTTCAAGAAAATCACTTCCCACCATTACCATTATCCTGAAAGCAAAACAAAATGCTACTCACTTGTGTACGACTCTCCGGGAACGTACTTATCCGGATTGCCGGAAATTCTGAGCCGGAAACGTCCATCGGCGGGCGACTTGCTCGCCCCGGATCCCTCCGGCGCCCGGTCACATCGTAGGGCCGCTGCCGTCGGAACCAACGCAACAGCCACCAACACAAACAGCAGACCGAAAATCACCTGCACCTGCCACCACCGCGCGTCGAGAGTCGCCGGTCGTCGTGTTGCGTTCGGATGCATTGATCTACATCCGGTTCTCGGTTTATCAGGGGTTAAAAGATCCGACAATACGATTGTTTGCGGTTGTTGGCCCAGCTGGAAAGATGGAAAGAAGAGAGAAGGATTTTGGTTTATTAATAGAGTTGCTCTTATCGAACACGGAGGTTGATGGGGGGAAAAGTGACAAATTGATATTCCATGATTGATGGTGTCGTTTTTCTTCCTCCGGTTTTCAAAAGGATTTTCCATGGGGAACATGTGTGCAGGAATGACACAGTAGGCTAGCAGAGGCGAGGCGAACAAAGATGATTGGAAATGCTCCATTTCCATCTTTTCAACGGGATAAATCGTCTATTCTCCTGATCGTAGCAGGCATGTTGTCCTTTGAACTCGGTGTCGCTACTAAAGGCACATTGCGAGTCGAAAGATGCGATACGAGATGGCAACAGCGAACCGGGAAAAGGAAGAGATTCTATTGCACGTACGTATACCATCTATCTATCCGTGCTGCAAGATTATTCCCACAGGGGATGACAAGGAAAACTCATGGTCTCCTTCAGGCTGTATATCACTTCCGACTGGTGTGCACCCGTCCTCTACCATATCACCGCAGTGTATGCGAATGAAGATGGATACGAAGATGATTCCATCCAACATCAGGAAACTCTTCCGACCGACTGTGGTAGTTTCAGTATAGTGTATGGGAAAATCAGTGAGGATGTGCTGAGCGTTGACTTTGCTTTGTACATCCCTCAAGTGAATTCCGAAACTGAATGTGATTTATTCTGATCATAACGAGGCTATTCCGATTTACGACTCACATCACAGACGCAAAGACGACTTCGACAAATGTGCAACCTCAGCAACTGCACCAACATAGGCAATCTTGAAAATGCATCTCAAATGAACGTCATTAAAATGTATCCTTAACTACATTCCTCGATACTGGCTAAAAGCATTATGCCCATTAATTCAAGCTATTTAGATTATGGTTGCCCACATGATTTATTCAAACGTTCCAGCTATTCCCGTTCAATGTCAAGTCGAATAAAATCTACACAAAAGCAACATTGAATGAAATTGATTCCAAAATACAATCACGTAGGCCGTGAACGGCAAGAATTCCCATCGCAGGACGACTGTTCCAGGCACGGGCGAGAGCCTACTGTGAAAATCAATTTTCACAAGTCAACGCCGCCGTGCAAGGGGTGATGATGATGATGACAAGCGAAGCCTACTTGGATACACACATTTATCGGTGGAGCGCCTGTCGATAACAGTGATACTGATGCACTCGTCGTCGTCGTCGTCGTCGTCGTTCCAAAGGAGTGTGTAAACATCGGAACCGGCATGGTTCAAAGATGGGGGCGGAGGTGGAGGGGTGAGACCGAAAAACTCATATGCATGAATAACGAACAGCGGACCGACGACAACGTGCGAAATTGATTGCTGTTTTATGAGCTTCCGTGCAGCTCGTGCATGAAATTGGATGGAAACCGGAGGTTGATGACGGGAGATCCTGTGCTTCCAGACTCCAGAGAAAGCGAGAGATGTGTGCACGGGAGTGACGTGAAACAATCTCGGAAAACATAACCGTACACCTGCTGCATAAACGACGCAGGGCGCGGTAGACGGAGTTGGCTCCGAGATTCTCAGTATAATAATTAAGCAGTATATGCAGCTTAGAAAGTAAATTAGTTTCCTTTAGAAGCGTGACGTGGAAGACGGAAGTTGGTCTCGTTTGTACAGGTAGGAGCACAAAGAAAGCATGCAGTTGAATTAAGCATAACTAATGAGCTCATCTAAAGTTGGGAGAAGTTAAATTCTTTCCTCCTTGGTATGATTTGGAAATGCGTCATTCCCGGTGAACGCCAACACATTTTTCCTTATCACATGAGATATTCAGTGATTTGGAAATTGATTTTGGAAGAAGGTTCAAGTTTTAAATAAGAAATTCTGCTAAATGGAATATCTATCTATCTACGTACGAGGATTGTACGACAGCCCAAATAATATTTTGAGGCTAAAATTCATAGGGAATAGAATGAACTGTCGATTCGTTGGCTCAACGTAACAATAAAGAGTTTTGGGGCTTTAAACACCAAAAGAAAATAAAGAAAGGCTTAAATGGTCACAAATATCTATCTATCGATTTATCAATCGATCTATCAATCGATCTATCAATCGATCTATTAATCGATCTATCAATCTATCCATAAATCTATCTATCAATCGATCTATCAATCGATCTATCAATCGATCTATCAATCGATCTATCAATCGATCTATCAATCGATCTATCAATCGATCTATCAATCGATCTATGAATCGATCTATCAATCTATCCATAAATCTATCTATCAATCGATCTATAAATCGATCTATCAATCGATCTATTAATCGATCTATCAATCGATCAATCGATCTATCAATCGATCTATCAATCGATCTATCAATCGATCTATCAATCGATCTATCAATCGATCTATCAATCGATCTATCAATCGATCTATCAATCGATCTATCAATCGATCTATCAATCGATCTATCAAAGGATCTATCTATCTATCTTTCTATCGATCTATCAATCGATTTATCAATCGATCTATAAATCGATCGATCTATCAATCGATCTATCAATCGATGTATCAATCGATCTATCAATCGATCTATCAATCGATCTATCAATCGATCTATCAATCGATCTATCAATCGATCTATCAATCGATCTATCAATCGATCTATCAATCGATCTATCAATCGATCTATCAATCGATCTATCAATCGATCTATCAATCGATCTATCAATCGATCTATGAATCGATCTATCAATCTATCCATAAATCTATCCATAAATCTATCTATCAATTGATCTATCAATCTATCCATAAATCGATCTATCAATCGATCTATCAATCGATCTATCAATCGATATATCAATCGATTTATCAATCGATCTATCAATCGATCTATCAATCGATCTATCAATCGATCTATCAATCGATCTATCAATCAATCTATCAATCGATCTATCAATCGATCTATCAATCGATCTATCAATCGATCTATCAATCGGTCTATCAATCGATCTATCAATCGATCTATCAATCGATCTATCAATCGATCTATCAATCGATCTATCAATCGATCTATCAATCGATCTATCAATCGATCTATCAATCGATCTATCAATCGATCTATCAAAGGATCTATCTATCTATCTTTCTATCGATCTATCAATCGATCTATCAATCGATCTATCAATCGATCTATCAATCGATCGATCTATCAATCGATCTATCAATCGATCTATCAATCGATCTATCAATCGATCTATCAATCGATCTATCAATCGATCTATCAATCGATCTATCAATCGATCTATCAATCGATCTATCAATCGATCTATCAATCGATCTATCAATCGATCTATCAATCGATCTATCAATCGATCTATCAATCAATCTATCAATCGATCTATCAATCGATCTATCAATCGATCTATCAATCGATATATCAATCGATCTATCAATCGATCTATCAATCGATCTATCAATCGATCTATCAATCGATATATCAATCGATCTATCAATCGATCTATCAATCGATCTATCAATTGATCTATGAATCGATCTATCAATCTATCCATAAATATATCAATAAATCTATCTATCAATCGATCTATCAATCTATTCATAAATCGATCTATCAATCGATCTATCAATCGATCTATCAATCGATCTATCAATCTATCCATAAATCGATCTATCAATCGATCTATCAATCGATCTATCAATCGATCTATCAATCGATCTATCAATCGATCTATCAATCGATCTATCAATCGATCTATCAATCGATCTATCAATCGATCTATCAATCGATCTATCAATCGATCTATCAATCGATCTATCAATCGATCTATCAATCGATCTATAATCAATATATCAATCGATCTATCAATCGATCTTTCAATCGATATATCTATTGACGTATCTATCGATCTATCAGCACAGTTTAAAATATTAAAGTCTTTGATATAGCTTTCGAGTTCTAAGACATCAAAAAATAATTATAATTCAAGGATTTGGATAATTTCCTGTGATCCAAGAGTCAAGATTCAGAAACTTTGACAATTTTAACAATCTTGCAAATTTGTTTTGTGAGAAAATTAAGGAGAGGGGGGAGGGTTGGTATTTTTTTTTTCTTTCTGCCACCGATTTAAAATAATGTCATAAATTAAAAAAAAACATGTTGAAACACTCTCACCAAGTTAAAAAGTGACGGTGAAGACATAGGGGAAATTTATGTAATGTCGGCCTAAGTGTCCCTAATTTGGGCGCATACATAAATTCAGCAATCGGCTAAAGTTTCAATAGCAACCAAAAATATCCATTAGTTACGTCCCAATGACGCGTTCATCTAGATACAATTGATAAATAGCAGATTTTTAGCGATGAACGCAATCTTAGGCGCACATAGGCCAACATTAGAGCCATTTTCCCTATAAAGATATTATTTTCGATCTTGTTGATTTATTTTTCAGAAACCTTCTGGCATCCCTGGTGTTTGATCATTATAATTTCTTTATAATTTATATAATTCAAATACCAACTAATTGACATCCCAAGCAACAATTTTGGTTTTATGAGGTTTCTGTAGACCATGATTAGGACTTGTAGATTACTATAAAACCTCTATAAAGCCTGCAATGTTACTTGGGATACTAACTTTTTGATTAACAGTCTCTTCCACTCCCAAGTAACATTACAAGTTTTATCGAGGTTTTAAAGCACTCTTCAAGCCTAAACCATGGTCTTTTCAAGAGGTAATCAACTATGCACACTGTGCCGAAACACATAGTAGCACACTGGTCGGCAGTTAAGGTACACGATGACAAGGATGACACAGAATATAATATAAAACAGCATCACTGCTTTGTGTTGACAGGATTTTGCCAAGCGTTGCTAAGGTTTACTACTTTGTTTACTTCAAAATAAGGGGGAAGTTTTCTTTTTCAGTTTAATTTTTTTGTCGATTTTCCAGCAAGGTTTTCCCAAATCATAATAAAAAATTGCACAATTGACGAGACTCTC